TTGGTTTGTACACTAATAGTCATCCTCTAAACATGAAGAAAATTAATTTCATTGTAGAACTCTTGAACTATCCGGAATCCTTTTGGATGCCCCGTTTAAAAGAAAGAAAATCGACTCACATTACCATGCTTATTTTCAAAATTTTCCTGCAAATACCTTAAATAAAATGAGAATAGAAACTTCAGAGAAAGGGATGAGCAGGCTACCCAAGGTGATTCCTTACTCTCCTTAGAAATACAGCCAGAAGATCTTATTTGATTCTCTCTCTCTCTCAACATACATCACTACAATCTAATAATTTTTTTTTTATATTTTTACATAATTCATCAATTTTTTATAATAATAATGATTATTATTATTATTATTATTATTATTATTATTATTATTATTATTATTATTATTTTGCATAATTCAGGCCCTTACCCGTTTTTTCAAATAGATTAGGGAGTTAGCTTTTTTGAAGGTGTCAATGGATTGTGTCAGTATGGTTGAAAACCACAACGTGGTAACTAGGTATGGGGATGCTACCACCACGACCCAACTCCTCTCTTATAACTATTTTTGTCATTTAATAAATATTTTGTAAGTTTTATATATTAATTTTATATGTCAATTCTTGATTAAACTTTTACTGATGCATTATGCCTTGCAAATGTTTTCTCATATGTGAACTACAACAAAATTTTCGATTCACTTTCATATGTTGCTTTATAATTCTTTTATTTCATTTTTTATTTTTCATCTTAGAATATCACATAAATCTTTTTGCATCTCCTCTTAACATTAAGTTATTGATCTTTAAATTAATTGTTTCCAAATGTCATAAATGTGACGAAATTTAGATTCACTTAAGCATGTTGCTTTATAACTTTTTATTTGTTTTTTAATTTGTCATTCTAAAAGTTCATATAAATTTAATTGTATCTCCTTTTAAAATTATTATTTTTTATCTTAGACGTAATTGATTTGTAATGTCATAATCAACTTTATGTGACCCATGTATATTTGTCATTTCTTTCTTTTTCAATAATATTTCTTTCTTTTTAATAATATTTATGTATATTTAGGTCGATTTTATCATCTTCTCTTCTCTATTTTTTTCTTTTTTATATTATTAAATCATGTAGGGTGCTTACTTAATAAGGTGAGTTCTATTATGATTTATCCTTTAAATTTTATTATATGAATTTTATATTTGTAAGTTTTCATTATTAGAAAACTAATAGATTAATTATTTATTTATTTTAAATTTTTATTCAAATTTACGGAGAAACTTTTAGATATATATTCTGAACTTTTTTTTTTTAGTCAATGATTAATTTACTGGTTTTACTTTTTCAATGTCATCAAAAACCTCATTTTGTAAGAAAATAACTTAATTTATTTTTCTTTTGCTTTCTATAGCTCTCCTATATTTAAGAGGCATACTTGGAAAGCTAAATAGATTTTACTTTTTTTGTAGATATATATTCAATTTTGTGGTGATTTCTTTGTATTTCTATATATGTAGTTCTAAACTTTTTTATTTTTAATCAAATATTAGCTTGCCAATGATTTATTTTTGTGGGGGATATTCATTTCCATTCTATTTTTCTAAATTTCTTGCAATTTTAAAGTGCTTTCCTAATTTTTTTTTATTACTAACTAGTTTTTTTTTTTTTTTTTATTTTTTTTTTTACTTTTAAAAATTATTTGAAACTAATTTTTAAAAAGTTTAAATACAAAAAGTTTCATTTCAATTTTTACTAAAAAAAAACAAGTTTTATTTTCACAATAACTTTTTTTATAATTATTCAACAACTATCGTCATTAATGTTCTCTTTATAATTAAATATATTCTTTATTTGTGTATTTCATGATTCTTAAAGTTGTTTATTGTGATTTTAAATATTTTTAGTAAGAAATTATAGTTGTTCCAAATTTGCATACCAATTCTTAATCTATAAATTTGAGGGTCCCAAAATATCCATGATTAAATTATATTCTTTATGACGATTTTTCAATGGTTTGAAGTTAATTACATTATCTTGACTCTAAAAAGGAAACCGAATTTATGTTTTTTAGATTTTTTTTTACACTTTAAGACCAGCTTTATTTATTTTTTAAAATTTTGAAATTTTGAATTTAAAGTGTTCCAAATAAAATATATTATACGTACTATAAAAGTAAAAAATTAACTTTCGATACCCTATATCTGTAAATGTTATTTTTATATACTTCACTTTTTTGTTAATGACATATTCTTTTTTTAATAGCTTTTAAAAATATAAAAATTAAGGTTATTTTAGCAAAATTTTCAAGTTATATAATTTATTTATAATTATTTTCCAATTTTTCTATAATGATTTCTAAATGCTCACAATTCTAATATTTTGACGTAATTTTTGGTAACACAAATATATCATTGGATAAGTATTTTTTTTATTCATATATCTCTCATTACATTAATATGTATAACACATGTAAATCCACTAGTGTATAGTTATTTTATTATAAACTGAATTACGGGGTAGCCACATGTCAAAAGAATAAAAAATATTCGAGGCCTAAAGAGGATTTCCGGCCAATGACACATGCTCCCCTCAATATTCAAGGGATTTTTTATAAGAAAAAACAAGGACTTGCACGCACATATTTTCGATGTCAACCAAAGATTCCTCTAGAAAGGTTGAAACTCGAAAAATAGGAATCTAAATATTTTATGTAAATTTCTTTTAGTAAAAATATTCTAAGTGAATAACGCAGTATAGATATTTGTTTAATTCAATATTACTAAATATTAGTAGATTATCATATTAGGTATTTGCAATATAACGAATGATTGTATTTATTTATTTTTTATAAGAGATTTTTTTTTGGTTGAGTAATGATTTCATGCAACCGTTGTATCTTAAAAAAATATCTTATGGCCATTTGCTTGATCCAACATTTGAAATATACACTCTTTTTATCCTAATGAACAATTACAAAAAATAAAAATTTGAAAATATAACCTAGAAAGTATTTTTTTAGCCCAATTAACATAAGCCATTCATTTTGGTGAGATGCTTAGATTTAGGCTTTAGAAGGATATTTTTTCATTTCCAATTTGTTTGGATGGCTTTATTATCATTAGATGAACAATGTTAAAAAAGAAAAAAATGATTTTGAGTTTATAAAGGCTAAGATCTTGAAATTCACAAAATGAACGGTCTAGATTCGTTTTTGGATGGGACTCATTTTGACCATATCTAGGATTCAAATTGAATTTTTTTTTTTTTGGGATTGATTAGTGAGATGAAGAGAGTGTGAGTGCAAAATTTGGGATCATACAAATACAACAAACTTGGTCTTCTAGAAGTGTCGTTGCATTATACTATGATACAACCGTTGCATTAGATCATAGAAAAAGTTTTTTTATGTAAGGATGCGACCTTATAATGTAGATCTACAGATGACCCTCAAAAATCCATCGAAAAAAGGTAGTTTTAATGTTGAAAAAACCCTTTTATTGATCATCTCGACATTGAGATGCA